CCCCCCCCTTGCGTCCCCGCTTTCGCCGCACCGCTGCTTTCGACCTGCAACCCACGCTTCCTGCACACCCGACCCCACCCCACTGCATCCCACCTCAACCCACCATGCCCCGTCCGCTCTTGCACTGCACAGCCTGAGCCTAAACTCCCGCCCCACCCCACCCCCTCCGCCGCGGCCCTCCCTCCAGTTTGTGGAGACCAACGAGGCGCTGCTCAAGACGCTGCCGCCCCCAAAGGTGGCCGTGGCCTACTACAGGAACGAGGACCTCTACATGGTGCGGGACTGCGATCGACTCCCGCCGCCGCCATTTCTTTGGATCCCATTCAACCGCCAGGGTGGTAGGGAGTGGCAGGGTGGACGGCGGCTCGTTTTCATTGCACAGAAAGGTGCTCGGCCCCCTTGCGGCGACAGCGCTTTTTTTATGCTGTGGCAACGTCGTCATCAGCCCCCCCCTTTGCCTGCCGCTGAGCACAGTACTGTGCAGCACGGGGAGGCCCCCGTGCGCACCAACGTTGCCTGCCCTTCACGGCGCCCCACCCCCCTTCCCTCCTCCCTTGCGTTCCCACCCTCCAAATCTGCCGCCCCCAGTTTGACGAGATGCACTCGTGCAGCGAGGCGGTTGAGCCGCGGCGCCCCGAGTGCAACAGCCTCTATGACGTGTTCGGTGGGCCGCCAGGCTGGCGGGGGTTGAGGGGAGGGGCATTTTCGGGGCTGCTCTGGTGCAGCGGGATCAATAGCAGGCTGGCAGCGCTTGGCGGTTGTGCATTCGAGGGGCAGCCACGGGCAGCCCGGGGCGTCCGAGCTGGTTGGGTGGGCTCCCGGCCGCGCATCCATTGGCCGCAGTTACTGGGCCGCGGACCCGCGGCTGCAAGCGAAGCGGCGGCCGGCGGCTGGCCCAGCAGCCTGACGCGCAGCATGCCTGTTGCAGCCTGCTGGCCGCACAAATCTCACTTGCGCCCACTTTTGCCACCCCACATACCCTCCGCTCCCCTCTCTCCCCCCCTGTCAGCCCCGGCCCTCCCACCGCCCCCTCACCTTTTATCCCCACCCCTCTCCCGTCCCCGGCGCTTCACGCATCCGACCCCCAGTCAACATCAGGGACGACGAGGTCGAGCACGTCCGCACCATGCACGCCTGCCAGTCCCCCGCCATAGCCATCAGCCTGGCGGAGCGCCGCCGCGAGGGCGCCGCCGCGCTGCCGCCGCCGCCGCAAGCGTGAGCCCGTGGCCGCGCCGCCGGTAGCTCGAGGGGCCGTCGTTCGCGTGGGCGGCGCCGCCCACGGCGCCCACGCTGTCGCCACGGTGGCGAGGGCGCGGCACGCCTGTGGCTGCGCCCCCGCGTGCCGGCCGCCGCCGCCGGAGAGCTTGGGGGCCACGGATGCAACAAGGTCAGGGCTGCACCGCCTCAAAACGCGCCCAGCGCACTGCACGCGTGCGTGCATCCCGTAAGGTCATATGCCCTGGTGTGGCCGCCGCGCCCCGCAGGACCCCACCTCTTCCAACCCCGCCGATTGAAAAACTCAACCCGAAACAGCCGCACATTTGCGCTTCGTCGTCCTGCTGAAAGCGTGTTTGACAGTTGCCCTGCCTTGTTGTTACCGGGTGCATGGACCCCACCGACTGCGCGAAATGGCAGCGGGGGGTCCCCACACCGCCACCCAAACCCTTCGGCGTGCCCACGGCGCTGCGTCCTGTCTCCTGCTGTCCTCGAGCCGCCAGCGGGCGCGCGCTGTGCGCAGCCCCTTGCACTGCCGTCAACCCGCCTGATTCGGTCGCCGCCGCCGCTGTTGTTTGACCGTGTTCCGCTGCATGCGCGCTCCACCCGTGGTCGCGCCCGCGCCCACAACAGCCCTTTTGTGCTCGCGGCGCGGCGCAGGGGAGCCCAGCAGCGCTCGCGTCTGGCCACCCGGCCCGCCTGGAAGGATTGTACTTTGGCCTGGATCACAGCATCCTCAAAGCATTCTGAAAAAGCCGAGCGCATGTAACAATACACACGATGCCAGGCACAAGCAGGCAGAAAGACCCCTGCTTTCAACTGTGAGGGACACTAAAATTGAACTGTGTGCAGGTGGTAATGCTGCGGTGTTTAGGGGCACATCTCTCTTATAATTCACTCCTTTGGTGCAGCAGCAGCCCCCTCTGCGGGTGCAATTCAAAGCAACGAGGGCTACAGCAGCCCTGGCGCTGCTCGGACCCCCTCCCGCGAAAAACTCGAGACTGTTGCCGCCCTGCCACAACAGCAGCTACCGCCGCCGCCGCCGCCGGCCATTAAGAGTAGCTCAGCTGCGTTCCGCTCTTTCCAACTTTGTGTCCCCACAACACGCATGCCGCCAACACGCCCTGGAGCCGCTGACCGTCCCGCTGACTTACGCTGACGTCACCCGGATGTTATCTGCCTCCTGAAGGGGTCTGTCACGCGCTCCGCCTCCCGCTCCTCATGCGCCGCCGCCAATGCGGGGGCCTTGGCGCCCGCCACCGGCTGCAGCAGCGCGCGCTCCAGGCCCTCAGCGGCGCACACGAGCGCGCCGTGGGCGTGGCGCTCCGGGCTGGCGGGCGCAGCGGGGGCGAGCGCGGCTGGCGGCGGCGGTGGCGTGGGCTCGGCGGAGGCGGGTGTGCGGGGCAGCGGGCGGCCGTCCTTGTCGACAAAGACCGGCGCGGCTGCGCCCACGGCGCGCTTGGAGTCGTCGGCGGTGCGAGGCACCGCGCCCCGCACCAGCGCGCCGAGGGCGGTCCAGATGTTGATAAGGGCCTGCCCTACGTAGCCCCTGGGTGGAGGTGGTTCGCGGGGTTCCATAGATGCCGCGTTACGCTGGCTGGCGTCCATACAGCAATTAACTACGGTGCAAGCGCGGCGCGATCTTTCGGTGGATCTCGGACGTGTGTGTGACGAAAATGAATTATTGATATGATGCGATGATTGGTGCAATTGCACGCATTAACTTCGTGGGCGCAACCACTGTGCTCGGAGGATCGAAGGCATGTCGTGCCAGCGAGGACAGCGAGCTGCGGGGCGTGCGCTCACGGCCATCAACGGCACGCCGCTGCCTGGGGCTGGTACTTCCGGCGCACAAGCCTTTGAGGAAGGCAAACACGCGATTTTTAACAACAATGTATAAATGCTCAACCACTGGGAACAATGGACACCTGGCAGGTGGCCGCTGCCCACACGTTAGCTGACATGGTGCTGGCTGGCACATAAATGACAGCTGGTCAGCAGCCGCGCTGATTACATCGCTCTGAAATTTGCTTTTGTAGGCAACGTCCAGCATGGGAACTGCCCATGCTTGGCAAGCCCCAATACTCGTGCATCGTTTTGGTCGTCCCAAGCCCTGGGGGCAGACTCGCGGAACATCTGCAGGCTAGCCCTCGGCGCCATCCCATACCACCTCCTTGCAAGGTGTGGTGTGAATCGCGTGCCAAACTGGTTTCAGCTATCCCCCCACCTGGTGAGCCCACCTCCACCCGTGACCGTGTGAATCAAGGTTGACTGCGGCCGCTTCCAAGGAATGTGTATCGACTATTGCAGCCCACAGACATGTACCAAGTATATTTTGAACCCCATGCATGCAGATAACTTCATTTGAGGGCAATTCCCTTCCCTTGCATCCCCCGCCGAAGGACTCGAAAACGTGGCTTGACTCATTGTTGACTCATGTGCACCAACTCGTTTCAAAAATTGGGCGCCTCACGCACACAGATCAATTGCTTCAAACTGCAGTACAAGGCTTCAATTACAAAACATATCCGTATCCTCGCCCAGCCTCACCATTCTCGTTGTTGAGGCCGCTGTCCAACAGCAAAGCTGCACCGACGTGCGACATCGTGATCGGGATTTCATTGTTGAGCTCAACGTCTCACCATCTCTTAGTGCGCCTGACGCTGCTGTGCACCAGACACAGCGTCCCGCGGTCTAGGAGGCGATGGCAGCCCTCACTAGCGAAGCCACGGGATTGATTAAGGAAATGATCAACGCGGACGGTGACCTGCCGAGCTATAATGTGAGTGGGGGGTCACGGCGGCACACTGAGCTTGGGGCGCCGTGCTACGCATCAGAGCGCACTGCTCATGCTCCGCACGTGGCATCAGCCGCCTCCATGCTGCGCGTTGCGCTGCGTTGCAGGAGGACCTTGTCACGCGGACGATCGGGATGACCAACGACTACAGCGTAGCGCTCAACCGAATCATGAGGTGCGGGCGGTACTGCTGTTTGTGCTGGGCATGGCTGCATGGGCTGTCAGGTCAGCAGAGCCAGCTGATCGAGGCCAGCTGCAGCGACACTTGCATCAACGGGAAGCCCCGAGGCATCTCTATTGACTCTCCTGCCACTGGTCGTTTGGCGACACCCCATGCGCAGAGAAGCAAAGGCGCAGCAAGAGGAGGAGCAGGGCGACCGCGACGGGCAGGCGGGCACCAGCGGGCGGGCGGCAGCAGGAGGGGGCAAGGACCTCGACTGGAGCCGGTACCCAGAGGCGGCAGCAGCGGTGGTGATCTACCACGAGTTGATAATGAAGATCAAGCGGATACTGCTCACCTATGTGTGAGTGGACGCTATGATCGGGTGGGGCCAGCTGCAGTGCGGACGGGCGCCGGAGCGACACGGGGGCTGCCGCAGGGCAGCGCCATGGGTCGAGCAGTGGGCTGCGCTCGCACTCGCATGGCGCTAATCTTTACAGCACACATGAACGGCGCATCAACAACCCTGTACCTTCCTTGAAAAGGGCATGCCAGAACGTGGCGCGCTCTTACCACTTGTATTGAATCCATCGCCGCAACCCGCGCCCCTATATGCGCCGCAGCAAGATGCGGGCCGACGTGATCTGCAGCATGCGCTGGGAGCAGCGGCGAAACCCCAAAGACATCGACGTCACCACAGAGCGCGACGTGAGTGCTGCTCGTGTGCGGCCCTGGTTGGCACCTTCTGGACTTGTCATGGGCCCCTGAAGCGGCATATGCCCCCCCCCCCCTTTCAGCCCTGCCCACGCCGCACCCCTCC